CTGAGATCACTAGTCCGAGAATTGCTGTTCGACACCACAACCGCATCCAGCCCATACATGCACGAACTGATCGCTATAAGAACAGCCCAGTCCCAACCATTGTAAAAATTATCAATAACTTGTAATAAACCAGTGTATTCACTCCCAGTAAACACTACTCCTTGCACTGTCACTATGTTGAAATGAACTGTAGTTTGAGCTTTTCCCCATCTAGTTATTATATGTCTTATTTGTGTCACTTATGTTACTTGTATATTATTTGTAATTCGAAACCCATTCCCCAAATATGTAACTGTATATTTTCAGCCTTCTGGCTGCCAAGCTCTTTCAATAAACCGTTAATTATTATTATTATTATTATTATTATTATTATTATTATTATTATTATTACACACACACGCTGAGGACTATCTACAAACCCTTTATACTCCCCAAACTAACGTATGTGTCACCAGCCTGGTCGTCTTCTCTCAACTCTACCCAACAACGTCAGCTAGAGAAGGTGTAGAAGAGAGCCTGCAGAATCATGCTCGGCGCAGACTACTCCGGCTACAACAACGCTCTCTCCACCCTGGAAATGCCATCCCTCAGTGACCTCCACCACCAAGCACTAGCAAGGTTTGGCAGTGGACTACTGCACCATCCTCGTCATCGCCACCTCCTGCCACCGGCAGTCCCCTGCCCACTTCACGCAGTTCGCCACTACAACAAAATTCAGCCCATTAGAGCCCGCACTGATAGATATAAGAATAGCACCATCCCATTTATTGTTAAAATATTAAACAACTCCTGATTTATGTACTTTACAGCCCTGTAAATGTATTATACGCATATCATTATGTCTAAATCAAATGTAAGTTTGTATATTTTCAGCCACCGGCTGCAACTCTATTAACGCACGCACGCACGCACACGCACGCACACACACACACACACATATTCTTACCTTCACCATTTGTGTAATATATCACATGAGACTGGGAGGGGCTAAGTTCTGTCCCTTCAACTGGCTGGAACCTTCCCGGGTGGAAGAAGAGATAGAGACCAATGGTGTGTGTACTGCATCCTCCTCCATCCAGCCAGAACCACTGTGGTTGACTCACACATGCACAAACTACGACTATCACCACAATACTAACTACCTGAAACAAATAATTATGCACACAGCATTAGACCAAAGTTTACTCAGCAAAGGGACATTAATACAGTAAAATGCCACATGTTCACTCAACAAGAATTTGCCGTCAACCTCACTTACTGGTATGATCTAACCAGTTATGTTAATCCCCCCAAATTTTTAAATCCAACATGTAATAAATAATGTTTGATGGGAGGTACTGGCTCTGAAAACATATATATACAGTAGACCCTTCCCATTCGCAGGTTTACGACTCGCAATTTCGACGATTCGCGGTAAGCAGCTGGCGGCTCAGGTGGCTAGCATGCGAGCCTTCTCCCGCAATGCAACGAGTCACCCCACGCACCCATGGGGTCTCATCTCGGTCTGTTTGCCCTCAACCAGTACCTGTGACCTAGCATCCCATGTCATACTCTCAAAACTTCCGTGTTTCTTTCTGAAAATGGCCCCCAAAAGACTGCCTAGTGTCAGTGCCAGTGATGCTAGTGGAGTGAAACATAAAAGGCAAAAGTCAGTGATGATCCTGGCAAAGAAAATTTAATTATTAGACAAGTTAAAGGAGTGGATAAGTACTGCCACAGTTGGTCGGTTGTTTGGTGTAAACGAATCCACAGTGCAGTGCAGAAGAATGAACAAACAATTTGTGATTCTGTTCAAGCGAGTGCTCCTCCAAGTGGTAAAGTGGTGCAGGTTGTTCGTGAAAAGAACATAGTGAAAACTGAGAAAGCACTGAACATTTAGATTGAAGACCAGCACCGCAAAAATTTTCCGATCACAGCAACATGATTCGTGAAAAGGCTAAGTCTTTATGCACAGTTTTACGAGTCAACGGACGGTGAAGGGGCAAGTACAGCGACTGAACCAACTTTTAGTGGCAGTAAAGGTTGGTTCAAGAATTTTAAAAACAATTTCTCGCTCCATATTGTGAAGCTGACTAGGGAGGCCGAATCCACTTACCACACAACTGCAGGTTGCTTAATTTATAAGTGTCTTACTTATTATTATTTGATAATTATAAATACACTGAAGTTCTCGAAAACCAGGAATATATTAATATTTTTTCTTGCCAATTACTGAAATATTTTTCAAACAATTACTGTAAATGGCTAGGAAAAGTTTTTATGTAGACTGATTTTCATGTCTATTTAACAGTGATGGATGATTGTTTGAATTTAACGAGTTCAGATATTACCGATTTAAAGAAGATTTATGATAATGTTTCAGATAATTCTGACGACGCACTCAAGTCTGACACTGTGCAAGCCACTGGTACTAGTGTAAATACTGAACACACAGAATTAATAGATTCGCAAGAAACGCAAGCGCCCTTACTGCGAGACATTTCTGTTGAGAGTAGTGAACACTTAAGTGATCAACTGCATGACGATTTATGTCGTGCACGGTCAGCTTCAACCCCCATGGGTCTCCACCACCAGTCTCTATGTACAGAACTAAACAGGGAATTTATTTGAAATACTCTGTAACATACAATACCACTGAGGCTAGTTATACAGACTTTTCCCTGTGAAAAACCCATAATTTTGAGCAACATATTACTGTACTCACTTTGTATTAAGCTAAAGGACTAAATTTTTTATCTCTTGAGCAAACTATGAGCTATTTCTACTCAAATTAATTGCTATCTTGCAAGGATTCCAGCAATGCAAGTTATATTCTGCTAAATAAATTCTGTGACAATTTATAAGAGAAAACTTAAGCCTAAAACCACCTTCACCCCAGTAATCATTATCACTTGCTAGCCAGGAGGGGAGATTAACACATAATTGTTAGTGGAGGCGAGAGGGGTCAGGGACTCGGGAATAAATTACACAAGTCTATAACTTGCATTGCTGGAATTATTGTAAGATAGTGATTAATTTTATTATAAACGTCCCATAGTTTGCACTAGACATATCCTGTAAGAATTTTAGTAATTAACTTAGTACATCTGAGTACAAGTTGTGATAATTTATGCAGTTGTTCAGAAGTTGTGGTTGCAGTTCAAAGCTTTGTGACATCACTAGTGTATAATGCATCGCCATATGCCCTGGTTTATTACTGATCAGTTGTCTAAGTGCAAAAGTAGCCAAATCGAGCCATTATGTATCAATTAATTTTAAAATGGAAATTATAAAGAAAATTTTTGTAAAAGAATGATTTAGTAGTGCTGTTAATGTCACCTCACCACCTGACTCTCTCAGATAACCCTTTGCCCTGTTAGCTCAGCTTGGAATTGCATTGATTTATTTATTTTATCCTTTTACTGTTTTAGTATTGTATATATACTACATTTAAAGAAATATTTTTATTTGCATAGAAATAATAAATAGACCCAGAGCAGACAAATCACGGGTAACCCAAGTGGTTGGTCTTCCCACCCACGCACCAACATGTGAGGATGTGGCTAAACATGGTACAATCATTCATAACACTGGGAACCCTTGTCCCCAGGCCTTGAGCAGAAAGGTATGGAATGATTTTCTCAATATTTTCTCAGATTTTCTGGTAATTGCGCATTATTTCATTATCGATATTTGCTCCCAGACCCAAAAATATAAATTTAGACAGCTTTTCAAAAAATTATACAGTATAGTCTGGATTTACGCGGATTTTGTTTACGCGTTTGGTCATTTACGAGGTGCTTTGGCAGAAGGAAATGTTTTAATTACGCGGTAAATTTCATCATTTACGCGGGAAGAGGTGCGGGCAAGGTGAGCACAAGGTCGCCCAGTCATCAAAACATTACCGAGTTCTTCACCCGCCACCCACCACAGCCGGCCCAAATCAGTGATAGTGAGGATATGGACTTTGAGGGGTTTGACAAAGAGGCCCTGCAAGCCTCTGTGGTGGATAGTGATACAATTGATACAAGTGATACAGGTGAGGGCCAATAATCTGCCCTCTGCCTCGGAACCAACCCCCCATCCCCATGTGCCCAGCCATCTTTTCTACTAACGTAAGTGTTAAAAAACCTAATATTATTGATATTTCTCTTAAATATTAATTGTGTGTGCATACCATCATAAAATTAAGATGTTATTTTTACTAAAACGTACGTATTGTGTTGGAAAAAGTGGAGTTTGGGGGTCGGCCCAGACTCTATTTCAATTACAGTAATCCCATATGTTCTGTAATTTCGTTTACGCGTTTCTCGTTTGACGCGGACCTCCACGGGTTCAATTGACCGCGTAGATGCAGACTATACTGTATATATTTTTCAGAAAATGGTCCTGATTTTCAACCTCAGAATTTGTTTCACAAAACCAGACTTTAGCAAATTTTCTGGAAAAATTCTAAGCAAATTTCAATTCTGGCTATTGGAGAGTTCCAAGATTGAGGGATTCCGGCTAACGAAGATACTGTATTACTGTATTTACACTAGCAAGGGTGCATCACCAGGTTTTTCAATTTCCCATTTTCTATGTCAGCCCATAGCCATAGCATTCCTCTATCAAATAATGATGTCAGGGAATGCGGAAATGTCTCCGACGTGATGCAATCCCCTTAACAAATAACGGGCAGAAAACATGCAGTACAGGTAAGCCTGTACTGTAATTGGTATCACACTGTAGCCGAATTTCTGAAAGACACAGATTTGAGGAATGAGTACAGTATTAAAAACAGAAAAATTTGCTAATTATTTGCTAAAAAACAAAATAATTGTACAACATAAACCATTATTGTTTGAAACTCCAATGCCGTATAGGACAGTTCTTTCACACTTATTCCACTAGGTTATCTTAATTTGAGAAAATTTCAAACTACATGTCAAAATTTTTAAAAAATTGCTATGATAAACAATAAAATTGATAAACAGCATATCATAAAATACAATACTATATACAGTACAGTACCACATATTTTATGTTAAAAAAATAGCTCATTCCACACTCAAACCATCCTGTGGGCAATATGACACAGTTCAGCCAGGCAGTCACCCTGCTGACTCAGAGATTTATGACTGTTGCCTCGCTGCTGTGTGTACACAGTACCAGGACATCACCTCAGGGGAGCGAGCGCAGCTGGGCTGGGCCGACTGGCAACACAGTTACAGCCCACTGTCTCCAAACATATGTTTATTTCCCACACATACTCACCTATGCTCTTCGTTTTTCATATTTTATGAATTTTATGATTTTATATTATATTTCTTTATTTCTAAGCCACATCATTTATATAGAGTGGAATAAGTATTAAAGAAGTCTGTTATTCTGCAAATCCGTGCATTTTCATGAGGGTTTAATTTCCAACACAATTTTATTTTATTTTTTCACAAACAAGCATGGACGCATGATAAATACACAGTAAATAGGGAATGCTCATGAAAATGCACAAATGTGTGGAAAAATGAACTTCAGAGACACAAATTTGTGAGGTCGGGCTGCACCTCCTGAAAATTTAGTTGAGCCGAGATATTCATACATAAGCCCCTGCTATTCTATATGTCTAGTATCTTGTATTTATTTACACTTAAAAAGTATTTAGTAGAGTATGCACTTAAATCTAGCTTCAGCCCAAACTCCTCACAGATACTGTAATGTTAATGGAATCCCCAGTATCAATTCTGTCACATATCTTCAGTTTCTTTTCTCCCAGTGGTCCTCAGTGGTGTTATTTTGCCTTTGTTTTAGAGGCCATAATAATACAATTAGGAAGCACTAGATACAAACAAAAACAGAGTGAATGGCAGAGCAGTGTTCATGACAACAAGCAAGTGAAAACTGATGCCTCGCCCAACTGCCACCTCACACGACTTACAGAAGTCCGAGTTAGAGAGGTCTTACGGTGAGTGCTATGCCTGTGAGGTGTTATCAGTCTGTCACTGGCTTGGTGTTACCACGATTGTGTAATCAAATAAAACAACATCTTTTAAAACATAAGTGAACAAAATAGCCTCACTGAAAATCAACGACACAACAAAATGATAATGCTCAACAGACATTCGACAAAAATTTAATTTTACAAGAGATTTAAAAATGCTTAAATTAAAATTTTCACACTCACTGGCATCCAGCTGATGAAGACCAATGTAATGTAAACTTGAATACAGTAATAACAATTATGAAACCTTTACGTGAGAAGAGTTCAACTTAAAATCAATCAAATAATAAAATCTTAATATAGCTATAATGTGAAAAATAACTTACCCCTGACATGAGATTTTTGTCATGATCTTTCCAGACCTGCTGGCGGCGTCTAGGATACAGACCCCCAATAGCATAGACAGGGTGAGTTGGCATATTTATGGCTGGTGACCAACACTCTCTGGTGCTGTACTAAAAGACTTCTTGAGTAGTAACAAAGGCTGGTGAGATCTCACATGGTTCCCAAGTGCATCACATTTCTTGGACAGAATCACAGCAATAAGTGTTCAGCATTTATAACTTGAAACTTGTCCACACAACCTAGAATTTTATTTTTTTTTTAAGTTATGACCTATATACAGTACAGCTACTCCCCGACTTACGACGGGGTTAGGGACTGACATCCAGGTCGTAAGTCGAAATGGTCGTAAGTCGGAAATGCTTAAATAATACATAGAAAACACTCACTTTAAAGCTTGCCAGCCATTTTAAAGTGAATTACAGATGAAAATTTTGTCTGTGTACTGACTTTGGGACTCAAAAATAAGTAATTTGACCAAATTTTGGTACGACTGAGGCAGGTCGTAAGTGCGGGTGGACGTAAGTCGAGTAGGTCGTAAGTCGGGGAGGAGCTGTATACAGAACAAGAACTATACCACCAACTTAGAGACACACCACAAGATATATAGTGTGAAGCTCTTCTCTCTAGCTGGTTATATGCAGTTATCTAATACAGTACTGTATAGTAATCTCCCCGCTAGGCTCAACAATTGGTGTTAGAATGGAAAAAATCACATCTATAGAATTTTTTCCGGGTATGATGAATGTTTTTGTGTCTAAACTACGCATCTGGCACAGAACACCATTGCTACAAAGGCTTAACCTCAGTCAAACAGACAGAGTAGTATTTATTTCTGCAAACATTACTATACATGTACAGCACAGTAAACTCCCTCTAACCCTTGCAATCCAGACTGGGGTCCAGCACCGAACACATGTATCCCCAACCTGGAAAAACATGACCAAAATCCAGTTAGTAAAAGGGAAAGTTCATGTAAGTTAGGGCTACCACACCACTGTGGAGGCACAGGAGATTAAATTAACAGCTTCCTCTGAGGAGGTGATGGAGGTGGTTGCTGAGGAGAACAAAGTGAAGTGTCTAAGAAATGCAAATAGTGTACAGTACATATTGTACAGTCAATGAAATTGGCAGTGAAAACATAACCTCCTCTCCATCTTTGGTGGCCTACATTATGAGTGCCATACAATCCCTTCCTGCTTTAACCACCTCATCACCTCAAAACTCAACAACCTCATGATAAGTGATTAATAAATAAGTATTGTACAGGTACAGGTATCCCTTGTTTAATGATAGCTCACTTTGCGATTTTTTGGTGTAGTGTTTAAAAATTTTAACACCCTTTGTTGTTTAACGATCTGCAATTTTCATTGACAGGTCCTCAACTCATTGGAAAAAATCTGGGAGGGATATTAAAAATGTGGGGATTTTGTGCTCCAAGTGCACATCTCTACTGTCACTTAATACCCCTACTGTACATGGTTTCGGGCATAGATTAACGTCCGCTAATGTGAAAGACACCGAGGTTTAGGGTATACAGTTAACCCTCACTTTACGCGGTCCCGCATTCCGCGTTTACGCGGTGCCTTGCCAGAATCTCACGTGCTCACATTACGCGGTACGTGAACCCCATTACGCGGAGAGTGTCCGGCGCGACACTATTTTTAGATTCGCCCCACCCGCCTGCCTGCCTGTGCTCCTCACCTCTCCCTCCTCCTCCCTCCGCTTCGGCAAGCCGCGCGGTAAGGTTGCTCAGTGTGTGTCTTTGTTGCGTTATCACTGACGTCATATGACGTATCAGACCTGTGATTGGCCATGCATCCCTACCCCCCTCTGCTGCTAGCTGTAATTGGCTTAAAGTATTATGACGTGTCCACCCGGGGGAGGGAGGGAGGGAGGAAAGACGACGCTTGACCTAGCCGCGGCAGTTTCATCCCTCAAGGCCACTCCGTGTAAACGCGCATCCATTGTTCCGTAAAATGGCTTCCGCCGGACCACCACCCCCAGAGAGAAACCTTTCCTTACCTGGACCCAGCGGCACTAAACCAAAGAAGACACGACGTTCCTTAAGCTACGAGGTGAAGTATAGCATCATCCAAGAGTTGGAGAAAGGAACAAGGCAGGTTGATTTGGCGCGCCAGCATGGCGTGAACGAATCTACGATCCGGACTATAAAGAAGGATTCAGCCAAGATAAAGGAGCACATGAAGATCACAAAGTCTTCAGGTGCTTCTATGATCAAGTATTTTCACAACCAGGTGCTTCTCAAGACAGAAAAATTACTTGTGAGGTACTTGGTGCGTCAGGCGCGACGGAACATGGCGGTCGACACGCGCTCTGTTAAGGACTACGCACGTGAACTGTACATGGCAGTGGCACGAAAGATGGGAACTTCAGAGCCCAAACCCTTTAATGCTTCCTCTGGGTGGTTACAGAGGTTTAAGATCCGGAACAAGATCACCAATATAAACATTGGTGGTGAAGAAGCGAGTGCTGATCGTGCTGCGGCTCGGGAATTTCCTCCGTTTTTACGTGAGATTATGGAGGAAGGACAGTACAGTGACGACCAGGTGTTTAACATGGACGAATCTGGTCTTTTCTGGAAAAAGCTACCTTCCAAGTCCTTCGTTGTGAAGAATGCCAGCAGGATTCGGGGCCGGAAAATGCAGAAGGAACGCATCACCGTCCTGTTTACCACCAATGCCTCCGGTACCTGTAAGCTCAAGTTATCGGTGATCCACACAGCCCGCAAGCCGCACGCCTACAAGAGCATGGACATGACCAAGCTAAATGTCCACTGGCTGACCGCACGTAAGGCATGGATGTTCTCTACACTGTCCCTCTCCTGGTTTGATGACTGTTTTGTTCCCGATGTAAAGAAATTCTGTGAGCGACAGAATGTCCCATTTAATATTTTGTTGCTGCTGGACAACGCACCAGGACACTCGCCCCTACTGTTAGATCGTCACCCCAACGTAAAAGTGGTCTTCCTTCCTCCCAACACTACGTCTTTAATCCAGCCCATGGACCAGGAGTTGATTTGCAATGTGAAAGCTGCATTCTCAACAAAAAAATTCCAGCTCCTGAACGACTACACCAACACCAGGGAAGAGTTGCGTAACCTGAGTGACACCACCACCGATAGCAAGAGCGAAGAAGATGAGGATCAACAGTTAGAACAGCAAAAAATACTCTTCAAACAATTCTGGAGAGTATTTAACATCAAGAAAGCTGTGGACTTCTTGGTGGAGTCATGGGATCAGCTGTCTATTGCTACAATTCGTCACGCATGGAGACATGTGTTGCATGGAATACCAGGTGAGAGGAGGAGTCAATCTGTGACTGGTGAGGTTCAGAATGTTGCAGTAGCAGTGGACCTTGCCAGAGAAGCTGCGCAGACTGTTACAGTTCCAGGCTTCTCCGAGACCACCAACGACGACATCCTGGAGGTGATCAGAGATCCTGAAGTGACTGCCGACGAGATGTTGGAAGAAGAACACGTCAGTGAAGAGGAGGAAGAAGGTGCGTCAGTCTCCGAAGAACACAATTTAAGTCATAGTGATATTAAGGGTGCCATGGAGTGTGCAGAGAAGATGAAGTCCTTCCTTTCCCGCGACAATGACGATGACCGCTATGAAGTCTTCCATACCCGGCTGGTGCAGGCTATGGAGCTGTACATCAAGGTGTATCACGACAACATCAACGCCAGCCGTCAGCAAAGCATAACAGATTTCTTCGCCCGCAACCCACCACAGCCAGCCCAAGCCAGTGATAGTGGCAGTGAAGATGACTTTGAGGGATTTGTCAGGGAAGCCCTGACAACTGTAAGTGACAGTGATGGTGATTCACCTAGTAATGGTGATTCACCTGAGGGCCAGTAATCTGCCCTCTGCCTCGGAACCAGCCTCCATCCCCGTATGCCGACCCATCTCTTCTACTACCGTAAGTGTTACACCTAATTTTTAGTTTTCTAACCTAACCTTTATCTTTCCTAACCTAACCTCTTCTATATTACTTGTTTTTTCATACCATCATAAAGTTAAGATAAAATTTTTACTACAACATAGTTGTGTGTCGTCAAAAAGTGGAGTTTGGGGATCGGCCCGGACTCCATTTCAATTAATCCCATATGTTATGTTATTCACTTTACGCGGGACCCTCCGGGTTACATTAACCGCGTAAAGTGAGGGTTAACTGTATGTATGTATGTATATATATATATATATATATATATATATATATATATATATATATATATATATATATATATATATATATATATATATATATATATATATATATATATATATATATATATATATATATACATCCTTGAAAATTTTTAAATTCCCGCTAATTTCTATGAGCCTAAGAAAAATAAATAAGTATGTTGAAGTGTCTGGCATCCACACGTGCACACATCCACAACTCCATTCAGGAATATGTCCACCTCCCCTCTTCCTCCACCCACCTCCCTACAGGTGAGCCTGCCTAGACAGCACCTTCCCTGGACTCTTCCTTGGCAACCCCCATGTCTCTTCCAGCCCTGCTACACTGCTGCCTGCCACACATCGACCATGCCACCCCACAGGACATCTACAAAAATGGCCCTTGCTCTCGGCAGACAAGGATGAGGCCTAGAAACGAGTGCCTGATAAAAACTGGCAGTGGATTAGTGATGATATTTTTGTGCCTTCTCTCTATGCCTTTGACAACACTGCTTCAGGAGTGCAAACTGACTTGGTGAATAATGACAGCAGGAAATTAAGTTTTTTTTTTCCATCTTTTCTTTACTCTCGACCTTGTTCAGTACCTAATGGACCAGACTGGCATGGTGCTGTTGCCTTGCTCTCATCAACTCCAGTAGACACCAGTGGATGTTTGTGAAATGTACTCATTCCTGGCTTTAGTTATGTTGATGGAGTTATTGAAAAAGAACATTTACAGGAACTATTAGACAAATGATCCCCATCTTCAGCCATGATGCAGAGAAAGTGGTGCTTGTGCTTCCAGGCATAAGCACAAGTCACTATCTATCCAGGAAAAGGGTGAATTTCCATGGTCCGGCAATTTCCATGGTCCGGCACCGGTCAGGTCCCGAGGTTGCCGGACTAGAGAGGTACAACCTGTAATAATAATTATTATAATAATGTAATAATAAAGATTATTACGACTAATGATGAAGATAATGATGATAATGAAGTATTCTGTACAACAACTGTGATGACGTCCAGCAAGCTTC